CACTAGCCTTGTATAATTTCTTGGCATAGCTTTGAGCTGCCTCCACTCTGACTAGGAAGCAGGAAGAGTACTTGTGTCCTCCCCTATGCTGTTAAGCCAACTGCATTATGGGAATTGGCCTAAAGCTGAGCTCCAGCAAAAGTGGGTGAGTCCTGGCAAAACAGTTTCATATCCCCTCTTCAAATCACTGACCTCCTTGAGCTGATAGGGCTGTTTGCCAAGGCTTGTTTGCTTGCCTCTTGCAGTGAGAGTTCTGTTTGGTTCATAATGTAAATATCATGGCCCTGAAATCCTCCAGCTGTCCATGCTTTGTCACTTCTTCAAAAGGAACTGACTTGTTTTCCAGTGGAGGGGGCCAAGGAACATTTGCTACCCACACTGGTTTGGAGCATTAAAAGGGGAGAAAAAAAACTAAGAGTAAGAGTTGTTTCATTCTTTGTATTCATATGGAAATTTTTAATCTCCATCAGAGGATCAGGAGAAAAATCACATTGAAATTCAATACAATAACTTCCAGCTTACACAGCATTTTTCAAAGATGTTTGACTTGATCCTTTAAAAATAACAAAAACCATGAACTGTGTAGCTCCAGGACTCAAATTATCCTTACTCTTCTCAGCCTTTGCTTTTGTCTTACCCTCTTACCTGCTTTCCATCTGTGTGGTCCTGTGTCTACATGATCAGCTTCTTTGAATGGGGGCTGGGATGGGGGGGAACTGTGCAGTAGCAGTCTGGTTTATATGGCTACCTATACTTTAACCCTTCTCTCAGGCCTTCTTGTCTCATCTCCTAGAATATTATAATTGGTTCCTCTATCTTTAGTCTCCTTATTCCTGGCTTCCTCACACACTGCTACCAGAATTACCTTACTAGGAAATAAAACTGGGGACTGGGATTGTGGCTCAGCAGTGGAGCACTCACCTAGCATATACGATGCCCTGGTTTCGATCCTCAGCACCAAATAAAAATAAATAAATAAATATATTGTGTCCAACTACAACTATAAAATAAATATTAAAAAGGAGGGGGGGCTGGGGTTGTGACTTAAGTGGTAGAGTGCTCGCCTAGCACATGTGAGGCACTGGGTTCGATCCTTAGCACCACATAAAAATAAAATAAAGATATTGTATCCACCTAAAACTAAAAAATAAATTTAAAAAAGAAAGAAAAATTACTGATCATGTCGCTTTCCTGTTTAAAATCTACCACTGACTTCTCAGTCTAGATTTTCTAGACCACCACAGAACACTTCCAAAATCTGGCTCCATTGCCCACCTGATCAACTTCATCTCTCTCCACCTTTCTCCTTAAACACATATCAGGCCACTGCCCACTGGATTATTAATTCCTTAAAGTCAGAAACAGCATATTATCAAAACCAAGCATAGCAACTGGAATATAGTAGATGCTTGGTAAATGCTAAATAAATTAACCAATGATTTAAAGTTCTAACAAGGTGCAATGGAAAGAGCAAACTGAAAAACATGTGCTAGTCTCTCATCCAGCTGCTTTCATTTCCTTTGCTAAGTATAAATCAAAAGCATATTCACTGTATTAAGGATCAGGTCTCTTCTTCCCCTGTTATAGATTCCTGATCACTTCTACCCAATATCCTGTCTTGATACCCACCAGGAAGCAGCGTGCTTCCTGGGAGATCTCCAAAGTTCTTGACCAAGATTGATTACTGCTTATATTGGGGTGATTTAAAAATAGTAGAGGGGTGGGGGCTGTGGCTCAGCTGTAGAGCACTTGCCTAGCATGTGTGAAGCCCTGAGTTCAATCCACAGCACCACATAAAAATAAATAAATAAAAATAAAGGTATTATGTCCAACTAAAAAATAAATATTTAAAATAAATAAATAAAGAGTAGAATTTGGGGGGATTTTTTATTTTTGTTTATTTACTTTCTGGGAGTTCTTCTACATATTGGTCTGTGATCTTACCTTCTGTAAATGATATGATTACATGAAAGAAAATGGAAGTTAACTTCATTGTGGAAATTATTTGATAACCTTTAGTATTTAAATAGGCACAACTGTTCTAATGTAAGGGAACCCATTCTTTTTAGTAGGTAAGAATGTAAAGTCTTGGGCTTGGGTTGTGGCTCAGAGGTACAGCACTTGCCTAGCATGCATGAGGCACTGAATTTGATCCTCAGCACCACATAAAAATAAAATAAAGATGTGTCCACCTTTAACTAAAAATAAATAAATAAATAAGTATAAAGTCTGCTTGGGAACTACTTAGTCTTTAGAATGGATCATAAATTTGCAGAGTGTCTAGATCAAACCAGCAGATTAGGACCATAGAAGCTAAGAAAAAAACAAAAGGCAAGAAACTAGCCAGGCCTGGTGGCGCATGCCTATAACCCCAGCGACTTGGGAGGCTGAGGCAGGAGGAAAGAGAGTTCAAAGCCAGCCTCAGCAATGGCAAGGTGCTAAGCAACTCAGTGATACCCTGTCTCTAAATAAAATACAAAATAAGTCTGGAGATGTGACTCAGTAGTTAAGTGCCCCTGAGTTCAATCCCCAGTATCCCACACCCTGACCAAAAAAGAAAAAAAAAAAATGGCAAGAAACTTAAGAATGGCCTAAGGTTCTTTTCTTAATCCCCGGCCATCATGGCAGCTGCTCTTGGTTGGGGGCCATTTCTTACCTAAGGCAATAAGCTGGTGGCCTCAAATAAGAGGAAAAAGTCTCTGGAGTTGATTGACTCTGGGCTCCAGCTTGTTATAAAAAGTGGAAAGTACGTATTGGGGTATAAGCAAATTCTGAAAATGACCACACAGGACAAAGCAGCGTTGGTCATCCTTGCAAATAACTGTTTAAATACATGTGCCTATATATACATACACATGTACATTCACATGCCCAGCTTTGAAGAAATCTGAATAGAGTACTATGCCATGTTAGCCAAAACTGATGTCCATCGCTACAGTGATAATATTGAATTGGGTACAGTATGCAGAAAATAGTACAGAGCATGCACACTGTCATTGATCCAGGTGATCCTGATATTGTTAGAAGTATGCCAGAACAGTCTGCACAATTTTTCTTTTCTTTTTTTTTTTTTTTAAGAGAGAGAGAGAGAGAGAGAGGGAGGGAGGGAGGAAGGGAGAGAATTTTAATATTTATTTTTTAGTTTTCAGCGGACACAACATCTTTGTATATGGTGCTGAGGATCGAACCCTGGCCGCACACATGCCAGGCAAGCGTGCTACCACTTGAGCCACATCCCCAGCCCTGCACAATTTTTCTTTAATAAAATGTGTCAGTGCTTATTTTAAAAACAAAAAAGAATAGCCTAAAGTTTTAAAATTTTTTTAAACAATACCTTCTTTATTTTGTTTATTTTTATGTGGTGCTGAGAATTGAACCCAGTGCCTCACACACGCTAGGTGAGCACTCCACCACTGAGCCACAACCCAGGCCTTAAAATTTTGATAATTTGCATAAAGAAGAAAAAAATCACCCATAATTCTACTCAATGAGAGAATATTCCTATACATAGCTATGTTTAACACAGCTGTTAACATTATAAAATTTTAAGATATATAATTCACAACCATAACAGATTAAAGGGGGGAAATACGATAAACCCCAGGGATGTAAGAAATTCTTTTTTTCCCCCAGTACTGGGGATTAAACCCGGGAGTTCTCCTCTACCACAGAGTTCCATTCCAGCCCTTTTTTGTTGTTGCTGAGACAGGGTTTTGTTCTCTTGCCCAAGCTGGCAACCTGGCCTTGAATTTACGATCCTCCTGCCTTAACCTCCCGAGTTACTGGGATTATAGGCATGTGTCACTGCACCCACCAAAAAATAATTTTTTTTTTAATAAAACTTAGTGCCAGGCTCAGTGGCTCACACCTCTCATCCCAGTGACTCGGGAGACTGAGGCAGGAGGATCTCAAGTTTGAGGTGAGCCTCAGCAACTTAGTGAACCCTGTCTCAAAAAGGAAAAATAAAAAGGACTGGGGGTGTTACTCAATCCCTAGTACCAAGAAAGAAAGGAAGGAAGGAAGAAAATTCAGTATCATTTATAGATAAAAGCTCTTAATAAGTTAGGAATGAAAGAAAGAAAGGGGGCTAGGTTGTAGTTCAGCTTTCCTAGCATGTGGGAGGCACTGGGTTCGATCCTCAGCACCACATAAAAATATATATAAAAAGTTATTTTTTTAAAAGTCACTTGATTTAAAAAAGAAAAAAAAAGTTCAGTATCATTTATAGATGAAAGTTAGGAATTAAAGAGAACTTCCTTAACCTGATAAAAGATATCTATAATAAATCTAAAACAATCATCATTCTAAATAATAATGGAAAAATTCCATTTAAAATCAGGAATAAAGAGCTGAGTGCAGTGGTGCATACCTGTAATTCCAGCTATTCAGGGAACCGAAGCAGCAGGATTGCTTAAGCCAAGGAGTTTCAGCACCAGTCTGGGCAACACATCAAGACCTCATCTCAAAAAAAAAAAAAAAAAAAACTGCTCTCGGTGTTGCTAGTCAGTATGTATTAGAGGTCTTAGCTGATATGCTAAAATTATGAAATAAATCAATAGAAATTAAAGATATAGAGATTGGAAAGGAAGAAAAATTGTTTTCATATTTTTAAAATAACTTTCCTCAAAAGACCAGAATATTCTGCCTTCTCATGGGTTGTTGCCAATGAGGAGGCAGAGCACCATGTTTAAATACTTGTGCCTATACATACATGTACATTCAAATACATGCTCCACATACCATGTATGTGGACTACATGAAAGATTTTTCTACCTTGACAAGGTTTTCTTAGATTCAGTATATTACTTTCCCACCCCACGAGGCAGATAAAGAGAACTCAGAGCCTCTGCTCCTCCAGAACTGCCAAATCCATTCCATGTTTGATCTCTTTCAGTCCCAAGGTAGTATGTTAAGATTTGGCTTTTCCCCAGATACACAGAGTTTTTGATCCCAATAGAATCCAGTCTGTTTTCTCATATTTGGTCACTCTTTCTTCCTAGGTCAATCACTTCTATCCGGAGTGAACTGATTCCATATTTAGTAAGAAAACAGTTTTCCTCAGCTTCCTCACAACAAGGGCAAGAAGAAAAAGAGGAGGATCTAAAGAAAAAGGAGCTGAAGTCCTTAGGTCAGTGCTTGGGTTGGGGTAATAAGAGAAGAGGTAAGAGTTCTTAGTCTACAGGGCAAGATAGACTAGCTGACCCCACTCTCTGAGCTCTGGGTAAGTTTGCTTAGCAAGTTCTGTCACAGTGTTCTTTAGGGACAGGCAGGTCAAGCTTCCAGACCCATTGTGTGGTTCATAGATCTATATGGTTCTTCACTAGACCATTATGTCTTTAAACTCTCTTTGCCATATCTCAGTTGTCTGGTTCTTCAGGGTCTGCATAAACCTAGTCCTGATTATACTCAGCCTCTTTTGTCTAGTGAAGGAAGGTGAAGAAGTGTACAGTTACAGTCCAACTAGGGACCAAAAAATATTTATCAAATGAATGAACAGTATAGCATAATGATTAAGATCATAGTACTTGGCATCAAACAGACCTAGGTTTGAAATCTGCCTCTGACTCTTAACTGATTCTGTGACCTGAAGCAGGTTCCTTAGCCTTCTTGGTTTTCTTACCATAAAATAAAGGATCTCAAAGGGTTATTGTGAGAGTTGAAAAACTGGAACCTAGTTACTCTGGCTCCAAGTTATATGCTCCTTCTTTCTTAGCACAGCTGATATAGTAATAAAGACTAGCAGCACAAAGCCAACGTAGCAGATCACTAAAGCCTGAGTACTTGAGTACTTGCTTGTGTTCCTTCTTGATTTACAAGAATCATCTATTTTATTTTCCCTAGAGTATTTGATTATTGTTCAAACTTGTTTATGGGACCTCTATTAAGCTTTTTTTTCCCTTCTTTTGTGAACCTAGGGGCACTTAACCACAACCCCAGTCATTTTTTAATATATATTTTATGTAGAGACAGGGTCTTGCTGAGTTACTTAGGGCCTCTCCAAGTTGCTGAGGCTGGCTTTGAACTTGTGATCCTTCTGCCTCAGCCTCCCAAGCTGCTACGATTATAGGCATGTACCATCACACTGGGCTTATCCTATTAAGCCTTTTTATATCAAACAATATTTCAAACACTCAGAGAAATACATTGCCTCCTTAAATTTGATTTAGTATTTCTGATTGTAATGGGATTTCCAAAGGGTTCATGTTAACTGTACCCTCTTTCAAAATTTGACTAATTCTATATCCCCTTGGTCATCTCTCTCTCTTTTATTTGCTTGGATTGGGCATTCTGAAGATATTTACAGTTTTATAAAAGAAGCCAATACACTGACCTTGGCTCCCTATGATGCCTGCTGGAATGCTTGTCGAAAAGATCGGTGGGACGACTTGGCCAGATCACAGGTGCGCTGCTATGTCCACATCATGAAAGAGGGGCTCTGCTCTCGAGTAAGCACACTGGGACTCTACATGGAAGCAAACAGACAGGTGAGAAGATGGGTTTAAAAGAAAAATCATGGGGCCAAGTGTGGTGGCACATGCCTGTCATCTCCAGAGTCTGAGGCATCAGGACCATGAGTTCAAAGCCATCCTCAGCAAAAAAAAAAAACAAGGTGCTAAGCAACTCAGTGAGACTCTGTCTCTAAGTAAAATACAAAAAAGAGCTGGTTATGTGATTCGGTGGTTACGCGTCCCTGGGTCCAATCACCAGTACCCCAAAAACAGAAGAAGAATCATGGAAGCTGGGTGTGGTGGCATATGCCAATAATCCCAGCTACTCCAGATACTGAGGCAGGATTACAAGTTCTAGGTCAGCCTAGGCAATTTAGTGAGACCCTGTCTCAGAAAAATAGCTAGGTTTGGGGGGTTTGGCTCAGTGATAGAAAACTTGCTAGCATGTGTTAGGCCCTGGGTTCAATCCCCAACACTATAAAATAAATAAATATATAGATATAAATAAATTAAAGGAATCATGGAACTCCTGCCCTAGAAACTGAACCTTTTGTCTTATTTCTTCATTATATATATAGTAACTTGTTCAAAATTCCTTTCATTCCCAAGGCTGAACAAGACTTGACATGTCAGGGAAGAAGATTGGTGTGCCTAAATACAGTAAAAGGGGAGCTGGAGGGCCTGGTCCACAGAGGGAAGGCCTTTGTAGCTCCAAGGCTAATATTTCCAAGAAGGCTAACTTCTGGCCTTTGGGTTCAACAGCTTCTGCCTATTATGTTGCATGGGAATATGTATAGTATTTACTTGATAAATAAGCAGATAAATACTGTGTAATCATTACATAGACAAACAGAGGAGGCTTCCTTAAGAAAGTAAAGGACAGAGTTTAAAGCTGCCAGATAGCAAAGCCTCAAGGAAAGAATGTTAGAGAGAATTGCCTGTAAACAGTACTAGTAAGGAGTCTTGTCCCAAAGAGGCTGAGCACATGCATGGCCCTGGTAACAGGACCTAGGATAACTACAATCAGGACTCATGGTGTTCCTTGCCCCCATCAGAACTCTTTTCCCAAGAAGTACATTGTCGGCATCTCAGAGGCTTGACTCACCTCCTCGCAGCTGAAGGATAAGTCAGGGAAGAGCACTTCAGCTAAGAAAGTGAGAATAAGGCCATCTAGAAGTTGCTACATAAATAATCATAGTTCTAGAGAAATGCAGCAGCCTCCTATTCTTCCTAACCTAAACAGGAAGCTTGACTGAGAATTTTCCACATCTCTGATTAAGCATGGATTCTACCTAAGGTATATTTAGGTGTGTTTCTGGCCTTTAGTGACCAAATCTCTTTCCTCAAGGTGCCCAAATTGCTGTCTGTTCTTTGTCCAGAAGAATCACCAGTCCATTCATCAGCCCAGATTGTCAACAAACACTTGGTAAGTGCTAGCATGAGCAGGGCAGGTGTGGGACACTTTCTGGGAGCATTGAGACTTGTCCTTAAGAATATAGATTGAGAACTGAGGTTGTGGCTCAGCAGCAGAGCGCTCACCTAGCACGTGTGAGGCCCTGGGTTCTATCCTCAGCACCACATAAAAATAAATAAAATAAAGATATTATGTCCAACTAAAATAAATAAATATTTTTTAAAAAAAGAATCTAGATTGAGACTCTTGAACCCTGAACCTCTTTAGTCCAAGGGAAATACCATCTAAGTTCTAGCAATAAAATCTTACTCAAGAAGTCTTCCTGGAGCTGGTTGCAGTGGCACATGCCTGTAATCCCAGTGGCTGAGGCAGGAGGATCTCAAGTTCAAAGCCAGCCTCAGCAAAAGTAAGGCACTGAGCAACTCAATGAGACCCTGTCTCTAAATAAAATAAAAAATAGGCTGGAGATGTGGCTCAATGGTTGAGTGCCCTTGAGTTCAATCCCCAGTACCCCCTCCCAACAACAACAACAAAAAATCTTCCTGGGCTGGGTGCAGTGGTGCACACCTATAATCTCAGTTGCTCAGGAGTCCGAGGCAGGAGTTCAAAGCCAACCTCAGCAAATTAGCAAGACCCTGTCTAAAAAAAAAAAAAAAATAGGGCTGGGTTGTGGCTAAGAGTGCTTGCCTTGTACATGTGATGCACTAGGTTTGATCCTGAGCACCACATAAAAAAATGAATAAATAAAAGGTATTGTGTCCATTTACAACTAAAAAACAATTTTAAAAAAAAATTTTTTTAAATGGGGGTGGGCTGGAGACTTGACTCAGAGATTTTAAAAAAGACTTCCTGGGCCAGCCTGGTGGCTCAGCATGTAATTCCAGCAACTTGGGAGGCTAAAGCAGGAAAATCACAAGTTTTAGGCCCCAAGAAACTTAGTGAGATCCTGTATCAAAATAAAAAGTAAAAAGGCCTGGAGATGTAGCTCAGTGGTAAAGTGCCCCTAGACTCAATCTCCAGTACCAAAAAATAATAATAATAATTCTGGGAAGGTACTTAAAATCTCTTGTCTCTCTTCTTATCCTGACTTGAGCGCACTCTTCAAGAGAGCACATTTGTGCACACAAATACATGAGTATGTGCGTATGTGTCCATTTTGTTTTGTTTTCTTTTCTTGGCAAGGGAGAGCCCATGCTTCAATGTAGGTTTGAGTTGGTCTCAGAGGGGTTGTGGGAATTTTTTAGCCCTGAGAAACACTGATGTTGGTTGCTTTTATTGAACTGTCTCTATGAAAGATCACATTAGACTCCAACTCAAGTGATCTGGGAATGATTTATAATTGGTTGGACAGATAGACAGTGTTTTCTATTTGCCTTTTGCAGGTTGGAGTTGACAGCCTCATCGGACCAGATACACAGGTTGGAGAGAAGTCATCTATTAAGCACTCAGTTGTTGGTTCATCCTGTCTCATAAGAGATAGAGTGAATATTACCAATTGCCTTCTCATGAACTCAGTCACTGTGGAAGAAGGGTAAGTTTCTTCTTGTACCCACTTGAGATAAGGCTCTTTGTACCCGGGAAGGCTTAGAGGGCCAGTCCATCAGTCCAACCCAAGAAAGAGTTCACCTTGGGAAGGAAGAGAAAAGGAAAAAGAAGAAAGATAGAGTAGCACCTATTTCCTTTGAGGCTTTGGGTTTGCCTCATCAATGACATGATCTCTGAAAGCATTTCCAATACCCTCATACTTACGACAGTTGTAACTCTGGAAAAGCTGCCTTCTCTTGTCTTGGTATCATGCTTGATAAGGATGACCACCATTGTGAGCCACTGACATCGCTGAGATGACCCTGCATCCTCAGAGTAACCTTCTCTTACTCAGTGTCCCAGAGCAAACCTGAAGAAGGCAGAAGCCTAGGCAGAGTGGATACATAAGCACACTCTGCTTTTGAGGCCAGCTTCTCTACAAGTTGTAGAGAATCGTTGTCATTTGGAAACACTAGAGTGACCTAAAATTGTAATTTATGAACAGCTTGGACATAGAGTTAGAAGACTTGAATGATATTTAATGAGATTCTTCTGTGTAGTCTCGGGGAGGTTTTGTATATAAAATGCAAGTATAGGTTATATAAAAAGGAGGGATATTTCAAGATAAATGGTTTTGAAACATTTTCTCAGGATAAATCTTCTGCAAAGCCAGGCATGGTTCTGCATACCTGTAATCCCAGAAACTCATGAGGCTGAGGCAAAAGGATCACAAGTTCCAAGACCCTGCCTCAAAATAATGTTGGGGGGGGTGGGGGTAATAATAATGTTGTTGGTTCTTGTTTTTTGTTTTTTGGGGGGCAGTGCTGGGGATCAAACCCAGGGCCTTATGCATGCCAAGTGAATACAGCTCAATGGTAGAATACCCCCTGGAAGTCACTCAAACAAAAAAACCCAATAATAAACAAACAAAATCTAACACAGAAACTCAATATTTAAAAACACAGTTACAGTGGGCATGATGGCATATACTTGTAATCCTAGCAATTCAGGAGGCTGAGGCAGAAGGATCACAAGTTCAAGGCCAGCCTTGAAAACTTACAGACACCGTGTCTCAGAATAAAAAATAGAAAGGGCTGGGTATATAGCTCAGTGGTAAAGTGTCCCTGGGTTCAAACTCAGTACCAAAAAAAAAAAGTAGAAGAAAAGGCTGGGAGTGATGGCACACAACCGTAATCCCAGCAGCTCAGGAGGCTGAGACAGGAGGATCACAAGTTCAAGGCCAGCCTTGGCAATTTAGCAAGATCCTGTCTCAAAATAAAATAAAAAGAAGGCTGAGAATGTAACTCAGTGATAGAGTGCTTGCCTAGCATGCATGAGGCCATACATAGGTTTAGTCTCCAGTACCATAAAAAATAAAATTAATTAAATAAATAAAATGAGCTGGGGATGTAGCTGAGAGGTAGGATGTTACCTCATTCTAATCCCAGTACTGCAAAAATTATTTATTTTTTTAAATGTATAATGGGTTTATGGATTTACACAACTCCATTACAAGTCCAGAAAGAAAAATTAAAGTAGTGTTCTCTCACTTATTTTCCTGTCTTCATTTTTCTCTTCCCAATGCCACCATTGCTCTTCTAGATTAGAAGAGCATAAATTTTGGAGTCAGACTGTCACTGAATCCTGGGTCTGTCTGGCCCTTGTTAGCCATTTATAGAATTGACCTTTCCTCTTTGTTCCATCTTCTCATTATAAAATGGAGTAAAACTAAACTATCTCATAGGTTTATTGGGAGTAGTAAAGGAGTTAATAAGTATAAATCACTTAGAACAATATTTACGCATAGGCACACAGAATGATAGTTGATTGATATATATAAATTACTTTATCTTCACAAAGGTGGCATTCCTAAGGTGATACACCACAATAATTTCAGCAGCTCAGGGAGACTGAGGCAGGAGGATTGCAAATTCAAAGCCAGCCTCAGCAACTTAGCAAGGCCATCTCAAAATAAAAAATAAAATGGGCTGAGGATATGACTCAGTGGTAAAGCACTTCTGGGTTCAATTCCCAGTACCAAAAAAAAAAAAAAGGAAAGGAATATATCAGATCTTGTCTCTATGCCATTAAAAAAATTTTGTAGTCTCCTTATTATCTTTTTTTTTTTTTTAATACTGGAGATTGAACCCAGGGGCACTTTACCACTAAACTACATTCCCCAGTCCTTTTTATTTTTCAGTTTGAGACAGATTCTTCCTACATTACTGATGATCTCACTAAATTACTAACTTGCAATCCTCCTGCTTCAGTCTCCCAAATCCCTAGAATTATGGACATGTGGCTCCACATCCAGCTTTTCACTCATTTCCTTTGGAATAAAATTGAAACAGTGGTTTCTCATGATCTGTCTCCAACAATGAGTCCTGGGATGTCAGAGTGACATGAGGCCTTAGAAGTCATCTAGCCCAACTCCTTCATTTTCACAGTCAAATAAATTGTGGCATTCCAGGCTTTTTTCTCATCTCACCTGTTACTCCATGTCCTATTCCATACTCCCACATGAGACTGACAGACACTATCATTCTTTTGGAAACTGAAACCTCACTTACCTTTATCCATTTGACCACCTAGTTCCACTGCAACTCATGAGGCTTTGTAGCTTATGCTATCTCATCTTGCCTCAGACCTTCCAAGAAAGACAATGCTGTAACTTTCCCCCATTTGCTCTAATTAATACTCTCCCCCAACCCTCCTATGGGCGGGCAAACAAAGGAGCAGTTCTCTGGCATCATGTGAAAGATCAATGTTAGTATCTTAATTGATGTGAAGAAACTTGGTGAGGAAACTCATGGCTCCCTAAGAAACTACTGCTTATGTGAGAGAAATTGAGAGGAAAAGCCTAACAGATCGCAGAGTCAGTTGCTGATAAGGACACATAATCTTAGATGATCTAGTAAGGCTTCTAGCTGGGGAAATAATAAGAGGTTCAGACAGCTGCTGCTGCTTCTTTTCCAAATAAAAACACTGATGTAAAGCATAGGCAGCCCACACCAGCTTAATGACTAGAAAGGCCAGTGGAAATTACACAATCCCGCAAATTAGCTCCTAGTGATAAGATCAGACATCCTACATCCCTTATAAAATTTTCCCCATTTTGGGGGTGTCATTTAGTCTTAATTAACTTTTGGTAAACTTGAGAAAGGTAATTAAATTGCAGTCATGTGAATCTTGATTACCCTGTTGCCATTATGTCTGGACTAAGTGTCAGATTAAGAGCATAAATTTGTCCAGAAAGAATTTCTCATATTCTTGGTGTGCTTGTCTCTACCAGTGGTTGTGAGCTGCTGAGCTTTCTGGACAGTGGGCTGGATACCTGCCCAATGTCCTCAGGGCTTGAGAGATACTAATAGGACCACCTTGGGGAAGATGTGAGACTACACAGAGAAAGTTCCTATCTATTTATTTTCTACCACATATATATATTTGTTTGTTTTAGTTGGTGGTGGACACAATATCTTTATTTTATTTATTTGTATGTAATGCTGAAGATCGAACCCAGGACTTCACACCAGCTAGACAAGAACTATACCGCTGAGCCACAACCCCAGCGCTTCTGCCACTTTTATCACAGCTGATGCTTGGGAATCAAAAATATAGTGAAAACTTAGTCAAGGCTTGAATGTCAGTCCTGTGTTCTGTCCGCATCTTTAGTCCACTGATCCTGAGCAACAAACTCTTTTTCCCCCTAGTCCAAGGCAAATGCAGCAATCTAGGATAGCACCTCCATGTACAAGCAGGCAGGGAATCAGATTTTCACCTAGGTTTTCCATGCTTTCTGAAGTTAGCAAGTGCAGATTCTCAGAGCCAAAGATAATACTGCTTTTCATTGCTACCCTTAGCCTGCCCTTCAAGTACACTTGATTGACTATCCCATCCACTGGATTCCTTATTTTACATTTCTCTCTATTCTTTTTTTTTTTTTTTTAGTTATAGATGGACACATGATTTTATTTATTTATTTATTTTTGTGGTGCTAAGGATTAAACCCAGTGCCTCACATATGCTAGGTGAGTACTCTACCGCTGAGCCACAACCCCAGCCCCATTCCCTCTATGCTTAAAACTCTGCCTGAATTGCCTCCCTTTAGAGATCTTTACCTGCAGAAATTCTACCCCTCTTTTAAAATACAGTACATTTTCCAACTTTTGAATTATCCTTCTAGCCTTCTCAAAATGTCCCAGCCAGAAATTATTTCCCCCACCTCTATGTTCCCTGTTCACCCAAAACACTTTCAATGCTCATGTGACGATGGGACACTTATTGCATCTTTATTTTCTCTTTAATCAGACTATAAATTCCTCAAATAGGAAAACACTTTTTAGGTCTGGGGCTGTAGCTCAATGGTAGAATGCTCTACCTAGCCTCTGCATGGCCCTGGGTTCAGTTTCCAACACAGGAAACAGGATCACATTGAATTGCCCAGGGTGGCCTCAACTTTGTAATCCTCCTGCCTCAGCCTCCCAAGTCACTGGGATTACAGGTGTGTACCACCATGCCCAGCTAATACTGCATTTTTTATATACTTTGGAAGTATTTATTAAACAACAAATGGGGATCCCTGGTTTAACTCCCCTACCATATTGGCTGAATATCTGTCAAGAGATCCCTGTCAGGGTTGGGGTTATAACTTAGTGGTAGAGCACTTTCCTAACATTTTCAATCCCCAATGCTGGAAGGGGAAGAAAAAAAAAAAAAAGTTAAAGAGAGATCCCTGTTTACTTCTTGAAAAAAAGAAGGAATTTTCGTCTATTATTAAAACTGGATAACTGTCACATATTCATACACAGGCTAAAGAATATCTACCAAATACAATGAAATTTAGATAAAATCCAAAAAGCAAGATTCAGTGAGTATAAAGAATGGGAACATGCTGGGTATGGTGGCACATGTCTATAATCCTAGCAATTTGGGAGGCTGAGGCAGGAGGTTCAAAGCCAGCCTCAGCAATTTAGCAAGGACCTAAGTAACTCAACAAGATCTTCTCTC